TAAATTGTAATCAAATAATAAATAATATGTAATTTTTTTATATTGTGATGTTAAATATAATATTTTTAAATTATGGTATTAAGTGTAATGAATATTTAATTTATTAATAAATACAATATTTTAGCTAATTAAATATAATTTAGCAATTTAAGCAGTAATATAATTCGTACTTAAATAATTTTTGAAATAGATTAATTGTTAATAATTAAAAAATAAGGAAATAAAGTCAACATCGTTCATTTGCTGCAATGAGTTGGAGATAACTAAATAAGATTGTGCACAATTTTTATGCGAAAGTTGCACCATTTTAGTGGCAGCCAAACCAACCCAATCCATTCGGACCGAACCCAAATCAACATAAATTGATGAGATGACATTCACTGCCTAATGTACCAAAAAGAAAAAAAGTTATTCACTGCTTAACACAATTAAACCAGTATGGAAAATAGACCATAAATATACACAAAATACAATTCGTTTCTAGAGGACACTTTGAATGAAATTTGATATTTAAAATATAACAGTAGGAGTCATCCACAGACTGATGGTCAAATCGAAGTGGCTAATTGTACACTTGGTAACATTATTCAACGTGTTTGTGGTGATTAGCCGAAGCTGTGGGATGTAGCGTTACCACAAATTTAATTTGCTTTCTTAACCATTCAATTAAACGAGCATCCCTCGACATAGTATATACGCAAGCATCTCGACACATTATAGATTGAATTCGTTTGTCTCCAACCAATGATGTTAGCATTACAACTGAAGAGGAACTTAGAGGCCGTCAATTCCAAGTAAATAGCTTCTACTGATCAACATCGCGTGATAAAATTGTTCAAAGAAGGTGATTTAGTTATGATGCATCTTCGAAAAAAATGGTTTTCAGTTGAAACTTATAGTAAACTAAAAGATAAGAAGATTATTCGGTCTATCTTCGCATTGAAAAAAATTGGAGATAATGTCGATAAGATTAATATTCCTATGGATATAAACATTTCATTTACATTCAATGAAATATTCTCTTCGGACAATAAAATCGAGGTCCAGTTTTCATTTATTCTCGTTTCAAGAATTCCAATTCAACTTTTGGACCATTATGGTGATTGAAAGTTTGTGTAAAAGAACAGAGGTTGATAAAGCGAGAAAATTGATGGACGACATGGTTGGTAAAGGGATCAAACCTATTGCACAGACTCACAATAAATCAATAGATGCATATGTAAAAACGTTGGATTTTAATGGGGTAGAAGATATTTTAGCAGCCTTGGGTGTTCGACGTCTGGCAAGACTCAAAATGCAAAGAAAATGTTTTGAGGAAGTGATTGAGAAGGGAGCAATGGCTGATGTTCATGTCTACATTTCAATAATTAGTTGGGTACTGTGAAAACAGAAATGTTCATACTTATGGTTCTCTGATAAATGATGTATGCAAAGTCGGTAAAATGGATGCAACTGAAATTTTGCTCAATGAGATGCAAAGTAACGACCCAAACCTCCGTGCCCAAACCATTAACTCATAGGTACTGTCCGCTCTGGGAGAGCGTATATCCATCTTACTCCCACAAATTTCTATAGCATCCGCCAAGATTTGAATCCGAAACTTTTGTATTATGAGAGACTTAAGTTGATTCTTCATACCAAAACATTATTACTTTTACTACTCTGATCGATATATAGAGCAAGGAATGGAGTTTTGTTGAAGCAAAGATGATGTTCCATGAGATGGAGAGTAAGGAAGAGAAACCAAATACTGTGACATACAATAGTTGAGATGGATATTGCAAGAAAGGTAAGAGAAAGTAAGCAAATATACTAAGAAAGGAGATAGAAGCCAAGGGGTTGCTGCCACATCTTTATATATACACCTCTCTTCTCCATGGAGAATGTATAGTCGGACAGAGATGGGGCTCTGACGTTGTTCAAAGAGATGCCTACAAAGGGATTGGTTCCAAGTGTTGTGTCGTACAAGGTATTGATTTCAGGCTTATCAAAAGAGAAGATCAAATGACGCTTTTTCAGATTATATGATGGATGATTGAACCTGGTTTGACACCTGATGACACTGTATTTCTTCTCCTGTGGACAGCATTCATGGTTCTAATTGAATTGATTAAGCTAAATTTGAAAGATTTATAAGCAGACTATAAATAAAATGTCAAAATACGAGGAAATGGAAATCAAGCAAGGATTTTATCCTTCAAATCCTTGAGAAATTGATCAAAATATCTCTCTGATGATCCATCTATCTTCAATGCATCCTGCAAAATCTTCCTCATTTTCTCAATCTCTTGCCTCAAGCCATTCGATGTTTCTCCACTCATCAAGTTCTTAATCTTGTATGCAACTTCCTCTCTTGTTACTGATATCCCATCACAAAGATTAATTCCAATCTTCCAATCATCGACCACTAATTTTCTATTAGTAGGTTGATCATATGTAACTGGATAACAAATCATTGGAACACCAGACCATATGCTCTCCAATATAGAATTCCACCCACAGTGTGTTGTGAACCCTCCAACAGCCGGATTTGAAAGCACCTCAGTTTGATTGCACCATGGAATTATCAACCCTTTATCTTTGATCTCGTTCATGAATTCCATTGGTAAAACAACAGTATCACTGTAGCTCACAGCATCTGCTCGAACAATCCAAATAAAATTTACCTCGCTGAGGAGAAGTCCATGAGCTATCTCTTCAATTATCTGCTTACTAGTCTGAACTAAGCTACCAAATGACACATACATAACTGATCTGGGAGGCTTCGAGTCTAGCCACTCGGTGCAGTCTGATTTTGAGAATAGGCTGTCAGCCATAGTAGTACTTCTAGCGCAATCATAAAAATTAATCGGGCCAATTGCATAATTTGGCTGCTTTTGATCTAGAGCTAGCAGTGTTTCTGATTCAAGTTCATGGACTGTGTTATGTAAGATGAAATCTGCCTTTTTCACCTCCTCAAATGCCCTGAAGACAATTCTGTATACGATTGATGTTGTTGGATCATTTGCTGCCACACAATATGACATCAAATCCTTTGTACTGATCGACTGAACTCCGGGGATGTAATTTACGAAATCCTCACTGTTGTCTGATAATCAAGCAAAAATACTGTTATGTTAATTGTCAAACACAGAAGGTATATCAGTTCGTAGATGCACAATATAGAATTAAGTTCTCTTTCCTTGAGGAGAGAGAGGATAAGGAAACACGTACCCATTGGTGGGAAATGGTCATTTTCCTTGAGAAGTTTCAAGTGATAAGCTATAGAAAACACCAATGCTGTTTCTGTCCACATTGAAACACTCACCAGGTTATACTTCTTGGCAATTTTTGCAGGCCATGAGTAGAATGTGTCAGCAATCAAGAAATGGACCGAAGATGGATCAGACTGGATAATTTTTCCAACAAGTTCATCTACTCGAACTGGGAAATCTCTCAACAAAGAATCCCAGAACTCTTCCAAGTTGAGAAGTCGATCAAATTCCGTAGGAAAACCATCAGAGATAGTGGTATAGCGCATGTCAAGACCAGATTTTCGTGCATCTCTAAAGAAATCGAATGGAGCACTGGAATCATTATGGTGGGATTGAGATAGCATGTGATGAACATATTCAGTGTGAACAAATGTGACAATGAAGTCCTTTGAAGCAAGCTTTATGGCTAGATTGGTGAATGGAGTAATATGACCTTGGTATAGGAACGCTATCATTATGGCGTGTGGCTTTCCTCGACTCTCCTCCATTTTTCTTTTCCACAAGCTAGTGCAAATTCAGACTGAATAGAGACTGGCTTATTGCTCAAGCTCTATAACCTTTATATAGCCATGGGGAATAAAAATACTGCCTCAATTCTTAAATTATGGTTCTAAATTTCACGTCCCCAAGTTTTGTCATTTTGAGTAAGCCAAACATAAGAGATATGTCATGGTTGGACATGAACGAACGTCGTACTGCCTGCCTGCCGATTGATGCTGGATTTATGAAACTAATATCATTGTCTCACTATCTTATTTAGTCAATCTTGTTCGACTCTGGACATGTGACAACTACTAGGCAAGAAATCGGCAAATAAAATCATTTGCTAATCTGAAGCGGATGGTAGCTTTCTAGAATAATGAACTACATTTTTTTTTGTGGGAATTGAAGACCCTGTTGGGTGAAGAAGCATCCAATGCATATGCTACACAAGTATGAAGTACCTTTCATATTGATGGATACATAAAAGAAAATTATATTCTACACCCAAGTCATAAATTCTAAAAAACTATATCAACACATCACTATTTTGGTGACAATATGTATGCATTAGGACAAGAGAAAAAGTTTAGCCCACAAGGATTCAAAATCTTAGGAGATCAAGTCAAATCCAACAATATCATAATGTGAAGTCACTTATCAACCAAAAGAAGGCATATTGTTGTCGTTAGGGAAATTTACAACAATATTCAGATACCAACTGAGGCTAACCGAATTCACAAGCTCAATCACAGCAATGACAGAGTTCAAAACTACTCAAAATCAGATTCTTCTCATTTTCAGAAAATATAGCATAATGACCCAACATTTGCATAACATATGAACTAATCAACATATACCATAGCATTTACAGATATATCATAAATCAGCAGAATACATATGTAAATCATAGGTACAGAGGACAGATTAAACGAGACAGAAAAAGAACCAAAGCAGAAACGATACTTCCCTTTCTTCCTCACTTGTGCACTGGCTGAGATTCAGGCTTAGGAACAGCCTCCTACGCTTGGATATCACCATCCAGACAGAGCACAAGAACCGATAAAGAAAGCTTCCCACTTGGCTTGTATCATCGACCAAATAGTCTAACAATTGCAGCCAAGAATAACGTACAAAACACAGATCTAAACCCCCGAGAAGACCCAACCCTTAGCCACTATTTCAGGCTTAAGAACACACAGGGATTTCTTCAACTAATGTTCAAATTTTTGGTCACAAATTATTTTTTTAGTCACAAATTATTAGATTTTAAGGTCACGATTTAACAATTAGTCACAGAGAAACAAATAGTAGGTCAACTCACATACACCAAAAACTCAACCCCGATCCCGATCCATCACCAATACTTGGTCACAAATCAACCAAATAGTTGTTACAAACACTCTTCATCCCGAAGTCGCCTCCGCCAACGCCACCGACACAACCACAACCACAACCGCAATCACAACCACAACAACCAACAATAATATCACAACACCATGACCACAACACCACCACCCCCACTATCACTATCACCATCACCACCACCAACAATAACATCACAACACCACATCGGCACCAGCAGTGCCGCCGCCACGCCGTCAATACCGCCGCACCCACAGCACATACACCCACCACCACCACCGCATCTAACCACGCACAACCACCAACAATAACAACACAACACCACACATTGACAATGCCCCCACCATGCCGTCAATACCACCGTACTAAACTCATACCACACATACCCACCACCACCGCATCTAACCACACACACTCACCACCACCGCATCCAACCATACATAACTGGTCAAACACCACTACCACCATTACAACCAGCATGAACATCCCCGCCGCAGCCCGACGCAACACCACCACCACACCTCCACTCCGCCACTGTTGAAAACCTCATCAGCATGAAAACCACACATCGCTCTAAATACTTTCGAGCAACACCATACCACGCAAACACCACCAGATATCGAGGCCCCGGAGTGAAACCAGAGTGGTCGGATAACATTTCTTTCCAAAAATTAGAGAGATCTGCGTTGGTGTGAAACCAGAGTGGCCGGATAACAAGTCTGGTGGGTGAGATTCAAGGCCTTGCCGTTGACGCACTGCCTTAGATCGGCCATCAAATATTGATATGCCATTTCCACTCACCCAATTCCCCCAAGAAATTTTAGAGATCTGCGGGAGGTTGGAATCTCACAGGGCGGTGAGGGAGATCTGTGCGAGGTTGGTCACCGCTGCTCAACACTCCGACGGTTGGCGTTCCTCAATGGCGACAGTCGTTAGAAAGAGGGGAGAGAGTGACGAAAATCGGAGAGAATAGATTTAGGTTTTTGTTTAGGGATTAGGGTTATTAATTATAGTTTTAATATATTACATGATTTTTGAATAAATAAACTTTGTACCTGATTTTTAAAAAGCAATCTTTAATCACTTGGATTCATGTAATTTCCTCTGAAATTGGACTTTGAGACAATGGGTCCAATTACATAAGTTGGCTGTTTGGTTAGGGCTGAAAGTATTTCGGATGGGAAAAATTTATAAATAAGGTGTTTACTTTACA